GAATGTGGATAAAGAAAAGCAAGACGAGAAGCGTTTTTCTGGACAAAATCGGGCAAAATGTCCTACCTTGACACATGCAAAACACCTCCTTCGTGCTCCATACGTCAATGCGTCATTATTGCGTTGTGTTTGTCGATTGAGTTCCAATTTTAATTGTGCGATTTCCTCGCTCATCCTCTGCAACGTGGACTCCAAATCCGATTGCTCTAGTCGGGAAACTGTCACTCCTTCTTGGGCAGCACGAACAATCATAAACAGACGTTCTGTATCATTCACGCCGCACGCAATCGCGATTCTCAACCTGCCTTGGACATCCGGGGCCATGCTTTGAACGAAACGATCACGAACAAGGCGTGCCCTAGTTACGCCACTTGCCTCGGGCAGCCCGATCGATAGTTGGCGCAACAGGTACTGATAATGAACGACTGGGTCTTGGGTGCTGTCATAACGGGCCGTATTGAATCGGTCCATTGCTTTCTGCCGATCACCTTCCTGTGTGAACTCCTTCACCAGCCCCGCACGGACCTCCCGATAAATGGGGCTTGTTTTTTCCCCCAACTTCAGATCATACACCGCCTTGGCACGCCCAGTCAGCAGTGCCCCAAGCGCCGCCAACAAAGGTGTGTCTCCTTTTACTCCGTGACATGCCGCTATCTTTTCAAAATCCGTGATCCATTCCTCCACATCCCCATCCGCGAACGCAACAGGCAAGGGAAACTTCATCACGTGAGCGTGGTCACGGCACCAATGTAACAAGGACGACAATGCACGGCAGGATACTTGTATTCCCACGATCACACAAGTCAAGTCATGGCACACATACAGTCGCTTATATAGGCTTTTTTCCAGACTCCGCGGCACCAAGATTGCTATTGCCGCTGCTTGAGCGCTTCGGCTGCATTCTGTCCATTTTCCTGTGGCCGATGGCTTGCTTCTCTTGCCCGTCATTTCCCTTCGGTTGGCCCGACTGTTTCAGTTGACGGCTTGATCGGCAGCACTTTACCTGAGCTATCTTGCTGGTTGCCGGAGATCCCGCTCCTTCCTCTCCGGTCGTCTGTGTGCTTCTTTTTGCCTGCTTTGGGACGCCTCCGACATATTCGCCACCTGTTTTTTTGTCTGTGGCCCTCGTTTGGTTCGTTCGTTCGCCTTGATGTTCACGCCGTTCCCTCGCCCTAGCATTCCCTGTTACATATTGACGAACGAAATTAGTAGAATAGTATAGATTTGGTAGTTGAAGATCAACTGCACAAAATGAGATCTTCTGATGGACGATTACGGTATTTTGTTTCCATTTGATGAATCATTTGAAAGTCAAATGAAATCTCCAGCTGTTCACTTCGATTACTTATCGAAGCTCTCTCCTTAAGTTGTTTGCAACGTAACAGCTTTGTTTCCACGAACTCTCCCTACGAATCCGTTGATCCTAGGAGTCGATTGTTGTGCGGTCAACGGGCTGTTAACAACGAAATACCAGTGATGGAACGACGCTATGTCATGTAATTGTGATGTTGAGAGCTAGATAGCTTGGTTGTTAGGTGTTAAACTCATGATCGTCTATTCACGGGACCGAGTCACAATAACGACTCGATGTTCGGTTGCCGAATCCAGAAAAACGCCGAGCATCTTCAACGCGAATTGACCAGGTCTTGCATCCACACATCAAAGCACTACGAACAGCGGCGTTATATACCTGTCCCTTAAGGAAGCGCCGAATGTCGCGGAGACGCCACAGGTGTTACAAGTTTGCGAAAGCTGCGCTAGCTCCCGCAATGCGTGAATTGATCTCTTCCCCCGCTGTTGTCAAGCTCCCAAGGCACTTGACGTTGTCAACCAACTGGAGTTGATCACCACAAGTGGTGAGTGAAGACACGGGCATTTCGGGAAAGTTTGTTTTATTCCTGTTAGTGTGAGCAGGAATGCAATACATGGTCTAGCTTTGTTCAACTAACGCTGGCTGGGGATTCTCAAAACAATGCCGTTATTCCCGGAGCGGATTTTACTCCGTGCCTAATTACGAGTAGCAATTCCAGCTACAGGGGTTTAGTGGTCTGTGTGCGAACCACAGATTTGCTGCAGTGCTAACACTAGCAGAGGTGACCGTGAAAGCAGTGAGAAGGGCAACTTTAATAATAATTACAAGACAGGCTTTGGCGTGCCAGGAAGTTGGGCATGAGGTTTGGTTGCCCAGTTATTTTAAAACGGTCGCACACCAGCGCCTCTGGAGGCTAACTTCTAAGCGGTGCCTCTGATCACAGCGAATTCATGCCATATTTATCTAGCAGAGAAGACACTATCCCCCAGCAGGATCAAATCGCGTATTATAGAGAAGGCAGTTTTGTGGAATCATTTTTCTTTTTATCCATTGAACTAACATGCCTAATGAGAAAGAATACTATTCATAAACGGTTATCAAAATAGGTGGTGGAATGTTAGTGTTGATGTTTTTGTGCGCGTGCTTGTCTAGAGCGGTCGGTAAGGGAGGGAGGGAGGTTGAGTGGGTGAGGTTTGAGAATCAGATGGACGAGTTTACAAATGACGACTGAGCAGTTGATGCGGTACGGCTGAATAGGGAAACGATCATTTTTGACTGATATCAATGCGGGCGTATCTCAACTGCACCTACAGTTTGCAGTAGGGAAAAGTAGTTTGGTCGGGAGCAGCGTGTCCTCTCATTGGTTTCGGGCTGGACGATGTCATGGATTCACTGAGGTAGGATCTGAGCTAAGTTGTGCGTTCGGAACTGAGCTGATCCGTGGTTAGATGAATGAATGTTGTCAACAAGGGCTGAGAGGCGAACGGGTTCAGGAGGGGGGGAAAAGACGACAATCTGTTCCCCGTTCCGGTTTGAATAATGCAAGCAGTGAAATAATTTGGAATGATACAAGTGTTCGAGGAAGAATATGAAAGAATCGTCTGGAGAGATAATGAAGGGGAGTATGGATCACTGTGCTTGAAAGGTGTTTAAAAACTGATTTTTTCGCGTCCATTGGCGATTGTGAACATGAGTTATTCACCTGTAAATAAAAATGATAGCAGACTGATTTCCAATATCCCATGGGATGTGAGAAACCGGGCGTGTCATTTCAGTTCTCGTACATCTAGATACACTTGGAACGGTTGATGCCTGCACTCAAGATACAGTGGACAAACTTTTCATATTAGTCTAATTCTAGCCCGCCACTGATAGCTTACTCTTTTGCGCGTTTTGGCTAATAGATTAATGTTAGATGTGTCCGTCGTCGGATGATGGCTTGGGGTATGGCTTAGAATAATCGTGCATTGTAGCTTCCGGAATCAACCACAATACAACAGACTGGCTCAGCCATGTTCCCTTTATTGCATCCACACTATTAGTAAGTCGTATTGCAGTAGTGAGTTCTTTACTTTGTTGCTATGCACAGTCATAGTCAGTCAAAGCTGAAATCGGTGCATTATTAATTTTTGCTTTACGTCGAAGAAGAGAGAATCTGATAACATCATCATACTTACGTCGCAAGTAGTGGGCATATGCGTAATCGTCAACGTCATAAGCTAATTGCCTCGGTCGTTTCCCATGGGCGTCACGCGCAGTTTGGCAAGCACCGGCTTCAAGCAACATTTGAAAAATGCTACGGCGGCGATAGACGGCAGCTTTATGCAAGGCGGTTTGTTTTCTGATCACGGGAGGAGCACATATTAGGAAAAAAGAATGAACAGAATATCGTACTGAACTGGAGACTAAATCGGAGAGTCCAAGTAAGACACCGTTTTCACGAACACTCATTTATAACATAGGGTGAAGCTTTTGAGTGTACCTTGTTTCCAAATTGTTTGCAAGTAATATACCTACTCCCTGTTCATCTTGTTTATTCATTCTTTACATTTCCACATACAACATGGTGAGAAAGACCGCGGTCAGTGGGGCATGCCCTACAGTTTAACGCTGTACGGTGATATTCTTCTGATTGCTTATCGAAGGAATAAAGAAAAGTAAACGTTTCTGATCGTGTATCTGTCATGGAGAAAAAGTTCCAAAACACCTGCTAACTGAATGGTTATGCTAATCTAATGAAAGTGTAGGTTTCGCTTCAGTATTGCTAATAGAGGTTTGGTTTATGGTAAGTAGTTGCCTTTTTCAGAACAGTTTCAGTAACAGTAGATTTGAATTATTGGTCGCGCATTATCAACGCTAGCCTCATCATCGTTAATAATCCATGCGAGCGCTGTTCCGCCTGGATAGTTAGTTGTTGTTGTCAACGGCAATCCATTTGTACCGAGACACAACTGTGATTTAAACCGGGTATGTCAGACAGGCCGCCCGATTATCCGGGAGCTGACTCCCAGCGGCTTGCTCCGCACCAGCACTACACTACGCAACGTGATGAAATACACACTCGTCACACTCGGTGGTTGACGATTCTTCGACGTCTCTTCTTAACATTGGCTTTCGTGAGTCTAAGAGATTTCTTAAACTCACTCTCAAACAGTGAGATACCGCCGCGGCTGTCATTTTTGCTGTGGTAGTTGCAGGCCACTGAATTTGGCAAAACAAAATACTATAGTCATTCTGACTTGCTTGCGCTTTCGGTGAGATGATTCTATGCTCCGGTCGTGATCAGTTGTGTCTCCACTCCCATTATTCACCAAAAATAATTGGTCTGACTGGAAGAGTTTCCATGTTAGTGTGACTATACTGACTTGGAATACGGAGAACTCAGTTTATACGAGAATAAGGTATACCGCAGTGACAAAGTGTTTATAGATACTTGGCAAAGTCGTGAGAACCAGGGGTCTAGACGCAGTAAAATATAGTGGAATGTAGAAGACAGAATACATTAGATCAACCATTAATGGGAGCGGGGATTTTTCTGCTTTTGAAATAAGTCATCGCAACACAACACGTCTTTTTATCACAAATTAACTCGTGAGTAATAATAAGAATTTTTGACAGAAAACCATGTACAAAATCACCAAATTTGCGAGTCTCAATGTATAAGGTTTGTGATGCAAACTCACTTTTCCTATTCTCGTATTTCGAGGAACTCGGGCGATGCTGCAAATAAGTATAATATTTTACTGATTAGGTTTATGTCTACATATGCGATTTGTGTGAAAAGGTAAATGATTGTGAAGTGGCAAGAATGGCTTTTCACTCTATCCGGGACCAAGCGAGGTCTCGAAAATTTTCCGCTTCCACAGAATAACGAAATACGGTTTAATTAGGCTGTTACTGTTTGCAATCTGTTTGTCCAGGTCAATGAACAAATCAACGTCACTACCAACGAATCCACGTGGTAATAATATCCAACTTTTATTTGTACGAGTAGTTCCAGTGCTCTATTCAAGCCTTCATGCATCTGCACGGTACACGGGTGACACCCAAAGCGTCTGGTCATATTTATGTCCACTGATTTCCGTTTTTTATTCTGGCGCATTTTGTGTACGGTTGAGAACCGAATGCCAGACTGCTTGGTGTCAGATGCTAGTTCGACGGTTGGGATTGAGAGTGTGGTCTTTTCAGAATATCCCAGGTCATTTTGAAACTTTTCGGTGTATTAATGAATGTCCTAAACTGCGTTCGTCATTTTTTGAGGTTCCTAATTGACAAATATATTTTTTTTTCCAGACTAGAATAACATTGAGGAGTCTGTCTGAAAACTATCCAGGATTTAAAGTACGGTTCTCTCACCAGAGCGAACATCGTCGGGACCGACCGGATTCGTTGGTTCTTCTTAACATGCTTGCGCATGAGTGTAGTTGAAGGGTTTTTTTTACCACATAGCCCGAAAGGCCCACTGCATTGTTAAGGATAACCGGCAACCAAACCCTGAGTTTTGCAGTGGGCAATCACATAAGGTTTCAATAGGTCAGGTGTGGTAACGACTCGGACGACAAAAGAGGGCTGTTCGGGTAATAACACAAAATATGGGTGGAACACGGAGACAAGTCGTCAACATCTATCAATCTCCGTAATGATTCAACGGAGATTATTAGTGCTTATCGCTTATAAAATAAGACACGAAACATTGTCGACAGTGATTCATTTTGTGAAATAGCAATCGATTGGTAATCGGGATCTGCTTTGTTGTCTCCGGTATACAGCTTTTCATTGTTAAAATTCTTTAGTTGTCGGGCGGATGGTGCTTGTATTATATGCGCCTCCGCCACAGCGTGAAAGCTTGATGCACTAGAGGCTTCTGGTTGTCAATCATTAAAAAGTCGTTGGCTTACGGCCAAATCCAGCTTAGGGCGGGGAAGTTTCGCCACTTTGTTTTAAATATCTCGAAAGATTTTCCCGACTTGACTGTCTGCTTACTACTTACTATCCCCTCCTCGCTACCCGTTTCTGTATTTGTTTTGTTGGCACTACGCTTGATTCTAGGCTCACTGTAATATAGTGTATAATAGGCTTGTGCTCATTATTTTTCGGACTGTTTTTGAAACTTCCAAGGATACATTATCTCCCAACGCCTACCGACCAGATTTCATCCCGGTTAAGTATCCGGTAATGTGCATCCGAAAGTCCCATTCATAAAATGAATGTTTAGTCCCACATTAAATAGGTGGTGAATGTAAGAGAATACAAAGCACTATGGTTGTGTGCGCTGCGCCCTGAGCGGGATAGCGAATGGAGTGAAGTTCAGGGAATATCCAGGTGTGCTGCTAAAAGCAGATGATTGAGAACGACCTTGGAAGTGGGCAAAAACTGATAATCGAGAAAAAAGGATGCAAGTTCGCTAGAGTATAGATTAGGAGCCCCGATTTTATCCCAGTGCTCCATGCTGGTGGTAACCGGGTTCAGCAAAACAACCCCTTGTGTTTTGTAGATCATAACGTGGGGCTTTCGTGGCGTAATGAACGTAATGAACTCAACACCTCTACGACGATAACGGGTGTGTATTTGTTCAAAGACATCATACTGGGAGTTAAAATATTCTGACACATTTACATATCAGGTTCGAGGGGAGATATTGCATTATTTTAGACCGTAGCTGTTAAGGATCGTTGAAGTTGTTGGTCTATCTGGGGCATTATCACCAAAGTAACTCGTTCTAACAGGCAGGCTATTCCGATTAATTTACGTAGACAAAGATAAACCGAGAAAAATTCGTAGTTCAAGCTGTTCTGTGGACTTGAAGACAACATCACACAAAAGCGTCCCATATACTAAACACGTGACTTGTAAACTTACCGTATTTCAGCAGCGTTCGTACTGCTCTGTCACACCCGAACTTCGTGGTCAAGTGTAAACTAGACCGACCGCGCTCATCCACTGCCAAAATATTTGCTCCGGCCTCCAGCAAAGCGTCGATCTGTTGCACGTTACCTTTACGAGAGGCATTCAAGAGTGCTGTCCAGAGGGAAATAGAAATGCGCACTGAGTTCGTACTTCTAATATGATATGAGTGAAGAACATTGCATTCCACCCAGAAATGAACGATGATTTAGCGCAGATCGAACAGGAAGTGTAAAGCACAGGAAATCTGCCACATCCTTGTTATAATTGACAGAAAAATACATAATTTTATACAACTCCCATTCCATTTGGATTTAAAATATTTCATTGGTAACTGAAAACGTTCTCTGAGTTTGATCAAAAGCTCGTAAATGTTGACTTATTTAATTTAGGGATGGGGAGTTTTGGACGCTCTTCTGACCAAAGTTAATAGATCTCCCGATCCTTCATATTTTCATCTAAACAGGATGGACAGTTGTTTCCCACTTTAGGTTAAGAGCAGATCTCAAGCTCCTTCGGCAATTCGGTGATATTCTATCGAAACCGTCTCATTACAGGTAGCCGAAATATTCAAGCACGTGTTGCATTAGCATATCTTCCATGTCCACAGTTAACCATCTTTGTTATTCTCAGGTTTTGCTAATATTCATTGTCTTGCAACCAAGATATTCAAAACCATTCAATTTGTAATTAACAGTATTCAAAAATCGTGGTTCCCGTTCTCTTTATTATCCATGACTATCTTTTTATGCCCATCAGCACCAGCTCTTTACGGTGGGTAGTATATCGTACAGGTATTTTGCTATCCACATATATCACTATTTAAACGGACTAACTGGCTGCAACCCAACCGGTGTCACTTTCTGGCTTCCAGTATCTACTAAATAAACGGTGTTCCTACACACATTCATACTCTGGACTGGGCGACCGAGTAGTACAACAGCCCACAATGCCAACAACAAAACAGCTGATGGACATCCTATCAAGCGAACGTTACGCTCTTCAGAGACATGCTGGCGCTGAAATTCTTACACAGTAAACGCTAGTGGGTTGTTCACACCCCAAACCTCACCCCTCACACACTTTCCACATTATTCGGGAAATACAGTAGTGTCTCTGGGAGAAGCCCTGTTCCTGTCTTCTCGCGCCCTCCTTCGTCTAGTATCCAAGTCTCACCAAATCCGTTTCCGCCAGCTTTTCTTCGCCTTCGGCGCCCTTTTAACCTGGGTAAGTTTATTGTGCAAACGCTGATAGGCATAGGACAACAGGCACGTGTCCTTCTGCTGGCACAGGAACTTGTGGCCTGACTCGTGTCATGATGGATTTCTGATGAGTCACAACGCCTTGATCCACGCCAACCTATCCCGGCTGGTAGCATGCATAATGAAGCACGGCTCACAACGAGACGTGAACTCAACGCAAGTCTGCGTAGGAATCGCGAAACCTGGCGGTCTCAACAAGCATCAGAGATGGAACACGCTGCCGCTATGATAAATTCCCGCAAACTGTTTCACTTCATCCGAGTCACCGATAGGAAGACGCTGCATGTGAGCGAGACAATCTTCGAAGCTGACGGTTTGCCTATCCACAGTCTCTGAGAAAGCCCTTACCTTGTGAGGGGAATCGATCATGGTCCCCATACTTAAGAAAGGCTCGCACAGTGATTGCGCCAACCATAGGGGTATAAGCCTAATCCCAATAGTGTCTGAGCTGCTGTAGTCTGTCATTCTTCGTAGGTTATACAACACGTGTGATGAGAAAACTCGCGAGGAAAAGGCTTGGTTTCGTAACGGTCGTAGATGCATTGATAAAATATTCACCCTCCGACAGCTATTAGAGCACCGTTACGCTTTCTATAAGCCAACGACCATTGTTTATGGACATTCGCACGGCCTTCGACTCCGTCAGTAGGTCTGCGCTGTGGCACTGTCTGTTGAGGAGTGGTGTATCCAGGGCAAGTGTCGGTTCCCAAAGAGTTGTACCGTCATACCTCAGGTTGGGTTGGGGCCGTCTTCAGTAGGGTACAGCAAGGTCGCCTATATACCGGTTTTCAACTTTGCTACAGAGGATGTCCTACAGAACGCTTTGTCTGGTTTTCCAAACGGTGGGGTTGAATTGTTCCCAGGGAATAGAGATATTACCTTAGAGTATGCCGATGGCATTGCCTTGCTGAGCGACAGTGCACGGGAAATTCAACACGTTTTGGATCACTTGGCGATTGACGTATCCTGATATGTTATGTAATTTGCGCCCTCAAAATGCAAGGTACTTCTTCAAGACTGATAGGAGCTTGTTCATGCACTCACCCTTTGTGGTGATCACTTGGAAGTAGTCAATAGCTCCCCGTACCTTGGGGGCTTGATTACAGCTAGCAGTGGTGGTGGGGATATAACATCACGAACTGTGAAAGCCAGAGAGGAACTCACAAGCCTGCGCCCCTTGTGTCGTCACCATAACATCCAGATCTCTCTCAAGGGAAGGGTGCACACTGCTACAGTTCATGGTATTCTTCTTTACGGTTGCGAGACCTGGCCCTTTCGCGTTGAGGATGCTCGGCGACTTTCTGTATTCGACCACCGATGTATCCTAAGTATTGCTCGTATATGATGGGAGCACCCGTTGAACAATGACGAGGTACGTCGCAGTGTGTTCGATGCTGGTAGTCGCCCTCTGACCGAGATAATTGCTCTACACACAGCCTCCGATAGCTCGAGCATGTTTCGCGTAAGCCTGCCTAGAGTTTACCCTTCCGTGCTCCTTTTGCGCATACTGAACGAGGTTGTAAGAAGCGGCGCGGTGGCCAAGCTATGACGTGGAGTAGGGGCATGAAGGAGTTAGTTTTGGCTTTGACTTCGGTTGGTGCCCCCCGCCTTCCTGTTTGGGGCCCACAGATGAGGACTGCTGTTAGACAGAGATGCTGAGAGGTATGGCCCAGAACTGAATCTAGTCACGCGAATGCTGTTGACCGCGCGTTCTCCATGAACAACTGAAAAACAAAGAACTTTACAAAACGCGTATGGTGAAAACGTAAAACTGTCCTTACTTGTTCTAATCTTTCTTAACCTCAATTATTTTCCTCACTGTGCAATCCTTTTCCGGTGTAGTTGCGTTTCTTTCATCCTTGTTCTCAAGCCGCTATATATATATATATATATATATATATATATATATATATATATATATATATATATATATATATATATATATATATATATATATATATATATATATATATATATATATATATATATACGATTGCGCCTTGACGTGGTGCGATGACGTGCGTGCTTCTTTGACCCAAAGAGCTATACAGGATGACTTCTTCAAGCCACAGATGCAATCATACCAGACAAGTCAATAGGTAGAGGTCAGACAAAGTCCAGTCTCCTGGTCCTCCAGGTTAGGGATCGATTTGAGCTGGGAACTCATTCGGTAAAATCAGTGGAAGAATTATCAATCCAAGGAAACGGGCTTCCACTTAGCCACCCCGCTGCCTTGCGGATAGGTTCTTGTTAAAACTAAAGGCTTTGGATGACACGCCTAATCGTTCTCCTACTTTGTGGCTGGAGACCCTAGCAGTACCCGTCTAACATATCCCATGAACTGCACAACCACAAACAATCCCACACCGCATCGGTCGTCGTGCAGGATAAGCAGGACCGCGCTGCCCATTGCATCGAGCGGGATGGGTAGTGATAAGTGGGCTACTGCTCAGAGTTCCCTCTCTTTTATTCAACCTTTGTCTTCTGTGCCCAACCACCTCTCTTTGCCCCCTCTATCCACCCGTAATGCTCCAGCTGATAACACTCGATACTCGCAACGCTTCGTTGTCGAATAGTGTGAATAATCCTCCATCTTGTAACTCACATTTGCTCGAGCCTCGTCAGCCTTTGAACCTCGGCTCCTTTAACTTGCGTACACTCATGCAGGCCGGTCAGCAGGGTGCCTAGCTCTCACAATGACCTTTCTGACAATTGATGTCTGCTGAAAAATGGAACGCGTATCCAGGATTCGAGCAGTGTGATTCAGCTAACTCCTCCTGTTATCTAACCAAGGTATTTTCTGCGCACTCCAGGAGACAAAGTAGCTGGAACTGCGGGTCGACGTGGTGTAGGAATAGTCTTGACTGACAAAGCTGATGCTGCCCTTCTAGACTGGATATCGGTTAACAGTCGTCTGTGTGCTGTAAAACTCCAGGGGTCAGTCGACGTTCGAAAGGATAGTCGTGTTAAACGCAATTCTGTGTGACCTTGGAGTGCGCCCTAACAGACTAAAGGTCTGACACGCATTAGGGTGAGTTCTACGATGAACTCGCCACCCTCGTTCGCAGCAGTAAAGGTTCTGACATTGTAGTGCTAGCACGTGGTTTTATTGCACAAGTTGGCAAATTTAGTGTCAGAAGATTGTTTGGGTGGGCACTGTACCTTACGCGCTCAGCGCACAGATAACGAAGAAAGGCTTCAATTTTGTGCAGATAATCGGTTATTGTTGTCTAGTACGAATATCCGAAGATATGACAGCGAACCGTGAATAGTGGCGATCGTGTTGTCACTTTTTGTCGGGTCAAAATGACTGATCGATGTGCGTCGGTACAGTTGGATTGTGTATTCCGTGTTTAAGCTACTAGGGCATTCTTTACATTTACCTCCTGTGTAGGCCCACTCAACGTCCATCTTTTGTATTCAAATTGTTTTCATTTTACGTGCAATATGGTGAGAAAGGCAATGGTCATTGGGTTCTGCCACGCTGTTTAACGCCGGACGATGATATTGATGATGGTGTGTCATTAAGCCAGAATACCGTATTGCTCCTCATGTGCCACTGATCTACTGTTACCACACACTATTCTTACTCGGGATTTATCAGCCGTGAGAATCCTAAGGATAAAGCGTAGGCAAAACGTAGCCCCTCTCTAGAGTGAACTCGGGGAACTGTCTAGGAATCCCTGTAAACAACCTCTGACGGTCTTCATATATTATTTTCGTGTGGGAAAGCTGCGTTTTTTGTCGTTTCCCATTAGTAAGCTTAGATAATTCTAGACCCAAGAAACAATCCTATCTACCCATATCTGTCAGCCTTACTGTCTTACTTCGTTGTCCTCCTGTAATGTGCCCTCGCCGTTTGAAACAAGATTACAAAATTCCGCGATGTAATCTGATGATAATTAGTCGTCTCCCCCCTTTAATCCCCATAAAACAAATGATCTTTAGAATTAGAAAGTGATGCATAAAGTTAGCTCAGAAATGCTTTACGACAGTACGCCGATTTCCAAAGGGCACCCTCGTTTTCTATTTTCCTCTGTTGCGTACATAATAATCAGTATTCCCCTGCTCCGTAATTCACTCGCAACTTAACCAACAGACAGCAAAAGAGTGGCGACTGAATTATACTAAAATCTTGATGTATATATTTCAATTACTGTGGGCAATCCAGTTCCGTGAATTGTTTTAGATATATTTTCTACTAAAATTTAGGCACATGAACGTAGGAAAGTCATACAAGACCAGCCTTCAGACACGGTTCTTTCCTGAGGTGAACTTACATCGAGGGTCCCAGTTGCATCCCGCATCAAAGCAGTGTGTTCCAAAGAAAATCAAATCATCGTCGAAACAAAATAAATACGTGTCTATTAAACATTGTTTTAGCACGTGGCAGCGGAATCAAGATTACCAGGTAAAATACCGTCAAGGCTTCCAGATATGTTTTTACATTGCGAACTAAGCTATCGGTGCTTTCCAAAATGAATGAAATTGAATCACGACTTACCTCGATCCAAGCGTATTTGCAACGAATCCACCGTTTCCAAATATTTTGCTCGGTCTCGACGTTCCGTGTTCGTAGAAAGTGCTGGCCTTCGTTCACTATCGGATGGAAGCAACTCAGTCTCATACGTGCGCTCACTTATCGAACTGCAAATACTGTCATCGCACGAACTGTGCACATGTAGCCAGTCGGTCACTCGTTCCATCGAGCTCTCTGAAGTTTGATCAAATGATCGGGTTTTCCTGTGGGTCTTAGTAGTCTCACCAGTGACACCCGAAGAGCTTTTCAAGGTTTCATTTTGTTCTCGGGGATCACATACGACTGAAATTGATCGAAATGTGGCCAATCTGGGCCGGACATTTTCTGAATGCCAGGCTTTGTCTTGATCAGACTGATTTTTGTTCTGTTGAAGTGGGATCGTATGCGTTAGTTGTTCATTTTCTAGGTCCATTGTCGAGGTGACATTCGCACTGTTGGGAAAGAATCAAAGGCAAATGGTCCCGAGTTACTAACGGCATAGATTGCTAAGAGGTCTCAAAGAAACCAGGTCACCGGTAAAACAACTGAATCATTAGCGTACAGTTCACGTCAGACCACCTTGTTTCTTATCGGTTCGGCAAGTGAATTCTGCTGCACCGAAGCGGATCTGCGGGTGTGTGACTAGTACTGGCCCACCGGTAGATTACCGCGGAGTAATATACTTTTCGAGATATTTAGTGGTTGGAAGGTAGGTCGATGTGGCCAGTCCATGATATGGAAAAGGTTTGAAAATCCTAACCAGTGGACTTGAACAAGTAGGACATGTCAGAATTGCGGATTGGGGTCCACGAGACCACCACCAGATAGTTGAGGACATTAGGTGACATGGCTAAATGTCGAAGTCAAAAGCGTATTTGCGTTCGGGCTCTTTTCTGTCCTCGTGCTTTCCGCCTATTTTATTTTTGGCTCTTTTTTTACTTTGTGCTCCTATTCATTTTGCCCTCGACTTGACCGCGGTGCGAGGTAGCAACCAAAACCAGAGAACGGGAGTGCGAGGTCACTGACTGAATGACTGAATTACGACAGGTACCATGTGACTTATTATTGCTATTAGTCTGTCTGTGCAATGAACCGATGGATCAGGAATGCTTATTCATAAAACAGAAGTATGGGAACCTTTTCCCTTTGGCTTTATTTGAAACCAGACCCACGTCCCTCGGTATTCCGCTATTTAGTAGTGTTTTCCGCCGGCAATAACAATAATTAGGAGAGGAAAATTTGAGAAAGGTCGATTTAGGTATCTATTTCATTTTTAACCGCTGGTCCAGAACGAGAAAGTATAACTGGTGCACACATTCAGACAAAAGCCGTGTACGTGTTTGAAGGCGTAAGCTGGAAACGAATGGGTAATCCTGTAATTCTCAATGTGTCATAATCACACATTTGCGAAATCTTTTTAGTTTCAAACAGGTCAGCACAGTTTAGGCAGCTGCCAAGCACGTTCTTGAAAATGTTTTGAGAAAACCAACAGTGAAAACTGATTTCCTTGTATGTGTTCGAACTGAATTTGCCAGCTAAATTCGTCTGACTGATATAACAAATCGAACCCTTGGCGAATGTCTCGTTTCACTGATTGCAGAATCGACAGACTTTCTATCAGCAGGTCGGCATTTGTTCAATAGAAAATGAAGTCTGTTCAACAGTCAGAAATGAGGCAAAATAATATTTATCATTTTCCAGTCCATACTTTACTTGGTTGACCCAGTGTGATAAATGAAAAGTGGCGCACTTGCGTCCATGGACACACTGACTTATAAGCTTCAGTGGAATTAACTGTGGACAACTGGAGATTCACTTGTCAAGGTCCATGAAAAATGTCTGGTTAGTTACAATAATTTTAGACTTGAATGATGTCAGAATTTAAAATCGAGGCACGTTTAGCTTGAGTTCCTATGAGAGCGGCTTTTTACATGTACAGCTGATGATGATTTCTAACAGATGGGTTAAAAGACTCGCAACATTATCAAAAACCTTTGGAAACAAGCGAAGCATTAACTTTGCATGTTCAAGCATTGAACAGCAGCATAAATCGCACTACTTAAGTTTGCTAAGGTACATTCTATTCAGCTAAACTGAAGTAGAATTACAAAGTTGAGAATACGATGCGAGGAATGCGGTGATGATGATAAGGTGCTTTCACGTACCACTGTTTGGTATCTAGAGTGGAAGAACAACTCAGCAGAGGCTTGGGTTCTCGCCGGTCTTCTCGTTCGGACGTAATTCTTTCGATCTCTGCAGGAAGCTGATTGGAAAAAACACAAGAGCAAGGTCATCTGATATTCGTATGCATCATTCAAAGGTTACTGATACCGAACAATTTTGTAGATTAACGTATAAAGTCTGACTCGTGGCTACGTTGAACTAGACCTGCTTCTTTTTCCCGTAGCTCAGAAGGCATTGTGGGTTTACTTGGTGAATTATCCGTGACTGAGTGCTTGGCGCCAACACCCGAGCGGTCCTCTTGCTTGCTATCCACAAAATTGGATTGACAATCCGGTGATGAGTCTTCCGATTGCTTCCCATTGGGGACAGGATGGCCCTCAGTTATGGAGCCGTCAAAAATAAGCCTCGGTGGGATACCAGAATCGATCAGAAATAATTCATCCATATTGCAAATATCCGTGATGAAATGGGACGATTCTTTTTTCTGATCAATACGAAAAAATCTTGTCGCAGCGGTTGTAGCTGAAAAAAGAAAAAATAAACCAAAAATTATCGCAAACGAGGTTCATGAAGTACGCAAAGTAGCAAAAACGCATGCAGATCACTAATAGAAGACTATCCAATCGATCTAGATAGATCATACTGTCCCACTCGCTGCGACTGTCTGCTCAGCTTAGATTCACAAATAAAATATTATGACATTACTCCAACGAGGTGCTAATGAACGAAGGCATTCATTCAATCCACTTCTACAGCACAGCCCTTGCTCGTTCTGAAATACGGAACTGTGTTGTGGTCACGATTCGTGATGATACCTAACTGGAGATGGTCACGATGGTTATCATCAGAAATTACAGATCTTGAACTACTTCTTTTTGAATCTTGGTACTGTCACTGACACCGACCAGCTTTCTTTTTCGGCGGCCTCTAACTAGCTACACTCCCTTACGAAAATACCGTGTTTCTCCGAAAGCATAGCCCGATCTTACAATAATTTTGTGTCCAAAAATCTCACTAGGGCTTTTTTCGGGGAATGTCTAATGTTCTTTCGGGAAGATATTCAAAGAGAAAAACAAAGTCTCGCGTTCTCGTGTAAGAGAAAATAGTCGTAAATAGAAAACCGTGATTTTAGTAATCAAGAGTGTAATTATGTTCTATTAATATTAAGTCAATAACAATCGTTTCGTCCCCTTCTTGGGCTTCATCATAAATTACCGAACCCTGAACTTCGAACTGTATTACTTGAAAATTCATTTCCTTTAGAGTCATTGATCCCAGTCTCTCCTGTTTAGCAATATAGCTCATAGTGTTCTTATTACTGAATACGAGTAATCGCGCTTGCCCCGCAGTGATTCCATTCAATCCAGTCCGAGCAGCATAAAGGTGAATATCATGTCAATATCTGTGGTTGCTGTAAACTCATGGAACATGAAGGTCGCCGAATCTGAAAGATGTGTTTGTTGGTTCGGTAAGTGTTAGGTTCTCATTACTCCGAAGTCTAGAAGAATGGGTCATCTCTGCATATTACGTCTCATCCTTCAGCACTTTCCGCATTTTTGACTGTCTTATTCTCGGGATAGGGCTTACACCAAAAAAATCCGCAAGGTAGGACTTATTTTCGACAAACCACGATACGGGAAAACAGCTTCCTGATGGATAAATATAGAAAAACATCAATATTATTATCATAACTATAGTGGTGTTTCTCGGTATGAGAAATTACTGATTCAATCACCATAGGTCCATCATGGAGGTGCAGTTTGGAAGATTTGGCAAGTATTGAATGTTGATTGATCTTAATACCGAATTGAGTCACCGGCCTTGCGGATGGGATTCAGCGACGACCTCCACGCAGGCACACACGCCACGCTTATGCGCTCTCAAGGTTTCGAATCTCAACACAGGGCAACTTGAATTAGCAGCTCGAGCTGGATTGGTAGCGTGAGGAATTGCGTACTGGCTGTTTTCCTCACAAATGCCATCTCAATGGATAATGAAAAGTTTGCTGAATAAACAATAAAAACCAAGCATGACGATTAAGAGCTTGGGAAAATCAGCGACTTGAACTACAAACACAACCAGTTTACCAATAAATTTCCACCGAGTGCATGGAGAATATTTGTTCACTAGGCGAAATATGTTTTGGGCTTTTATAAAGTCGAGTTAACATAATACTGCATAAAAGAGCTTAGAAAGGGCATCTAGGTTAAAAATTTAAAAAAAATCCAATTTATTTCTGCTTACAGTCAATGAAAGCCCAGGAATCAGACAAGCAGAATAGTGCTCGATCACAATCCATTCCGGTTGCTTCACTGATAGCCACTTCCGGTTGATCCACGTGACCGGATCTGTTGAAAGTCTCGATTGCATTTCGAACCATGGCCAAATCGGCGTTGAACTTTACGCCCACCGAACCGTAGAACGCAGCTATTGGGGTTCGGTTTTGGTGGTAGGGTTTAACACATGAACGTACGAAGAAGAAAATTAGATGATCACTCTTTTAGAAGATGCTAGAGAAGCGTACAACAGTAGTTCATTACCCATAAATTCGCAAGAGAAATTATTTATTGTCGGATATTTCGACAGTTACACTTGTATTCGTCTCCAAATTACGTGCTGACATTCCCAGGCTGAACCAAGTTCGATTCCGTTGCGCACACTTTACCACGACTCAGGAAATCAAGTCTTACTTGTTAACATCATTAGTTTATTCCTTGTTCTTGATTCAGGCGACTTCATTGGTCAAATGAACTGCACATGTACCCGCCCTGTCTCCATTTCGGTGCTTACTTTCCATAGTTTGCTTGTGTTCTCCCACTACGTTGCTCATCCACTGACATAGTGCCATTTCAGTTTAGTCGATACTACCATTTATATATATTTGACTCGTATATGTGTTCAACCCATTTGCTGACGTTCTCGTGTCGCTCATTACTGAATGTGTGGATGTCATTGCTTACGCACTCGTATATATATATATATATATATATATATATATATATATATATATATATATATATATATATATATATATATATATATATATGCATTTCTAACCTGTAAATGTAACTGTATTAGCCACGAGGGTGATATTACCGAAAAAGAGCTTGTTCTCTGTTCGTGTTTTCTACATATAATGGTTAATTTAGTGGTCATTGGTCGACTGATACTGTGCATATTCCCAACTGCTTTCCATAATGGGTTGTTATGAAATTTCTGTGTATCGATTCCCCTGTTCTGTTGTGTTGACAAAATGCGTTCTGGTCTAGCATGATTTTTTAGTCTGAACAGTATCATATCCATGGTCAGATGAAGAATAAGATGCTGGAAATTGAGCAAGTGTTTTCCAATGAATCCCGTAGGTGCTCTTCAGACTTCACGATGAAATTGGAAACCGAGAACAAACAGCCTCTACTCGATGTCCTGAAAATGAGGCGAGGTTGGTCAATCCCACGGCGGGTCTACAGGAAAAAGGCACGGAACGGCCAATAATCGGGTTTTCATACTTTCGTGCCATTGTTTCAAAAGCAAAACTTGGTTCGGGGTCCGGTATTCGGGAAAATGTGCTCAACAGGGACTCTGTAAGATGAACTTATTTTTGTTGATCAAGTTCTGTGAGAGAATGGTTACTCCGAAAAGTTTATTCAAAGTAACAGGACCGAAAATTCCTGTAAAGCGGTCTTCCTGCCTACATAAGAAGGAACTCATGAAAGTACGGTTCGAGAGGATACGCAATCAGAACAATCAAAGAAAAACACTTGGGGCAGCTGTAAACCCAACGATCTCACTCGCAAGACTGATATGCATATTTTCTACTTCCGCTGATCCACATGCAAGTAAAAGATAAACTGCCCGAGCTGACCTCCATGTTTATTTACTCGTTCAGATGCAGATATCATGCATCTATCACAGGTTGCACGACTGGGGGTTCGCCTCAACGCATTAAGGAACAACACCCGCGATGTTCAAATCATGGTGTGATTAGCAGCTCCATTCTAGGCCATTTGGTTGGTAGTGGTCATACGATCGACCCAGGAAATGCATTCAATCATATACCGGGGTCCACCTAATCGATCAAAACCAGTCCATCTTCGGGTCTTATCCACGGCAGAGGCAATCGTCATTCGCATATTAATCCCTGAACGACTTGCACAGAAGAAACTAGTCCGTGCCTTTCAGGTGTCCTGGTTAAGACCAACAACCACGGATCGCCGACTGGGCCCTGAAAACCCACCATCGGCTATCACTGGTAACGGCGTGATTTTACCTTTCACCACAACTACCACACAATAAAGGCCGTTCCTGTCCACACCACCTCCTCTTCCTATTTCACGAAGCTGCGGCAATGACCTTTACCCGGACCAATCTCTAACGCGTTCCACTGTCACCTCACCCGTATTAATTGTAAGAATGCGTATAGGATGCATTGAAACCAACTGTTCACGTTCCGAAGACCTGTTCCTAAATTCTCAGATAACAAAAAATTAAAAATATCAATGCCGAGAATCGGCAACCCCACGCTTACAGGGTAGATGCTCTACCAGCTGAGCTATCACGGTACAACCAACTGGGTGTCAACAATGCAAATGAACCACTGTACTAACCTCGTGCGAAAAACGCTGGTGGATTTCTCATTATCTATAAGACCCAGGATCCTCATGCCAATAGTGTTCTACAAATCAAAATGGTCTTCAGTTTCGCTTTGTAAACAAACGTTTGCATCAAAGCCATGTAATTCAACGACAAAATCTGATTGGTTCCTCTATGATGAGTCATTTTTCAAGAAAACTGTAACAAGAAGCCTAGAATGCTACCAGTAACATTCCACACAATCCCCACCCGAGTGCACTGCGTCCGAAAGGCGCGTGACCAATGGTAATGGAATCAAAATCAAATGCAACAATTTGCAAATGTGGCCATTCTAGAAGGCCCAGTCTGCTTGGTTTGGAATGATGAAAATTTGCACCTGTGGATTTCTCGCTACTCACGAATTTGTCTCAGTGCGATCGCATCATCCGGGATCGCCTGATAGTCCTTCAACGAGATGACGAAAATGATCAACCGGGTTTGATTAGCTCCAGAAACAAGGAATGATCGACCGGGTCCGCTGAAGAAACAAAGGTTGTGCATATGAGCGCAAAATAAATTGAAACTTCTGGTGAGAAAACGGAATTAGCCAAGTGGTGAGAACATTTGCATCCGGGAGAGAGAGAGAGAGAAGCCGCATAGCGCTCACATTATTATTAGTATAAAAGATTTCAAACTTTGAGGTTGCCTATGTAGATAAATATGATAATTCATTATTCAAGGGAATGGGTTAAGTTGACTGAAAGTTTACAGTTGCCATCATATTTCGTCCTTGAGGTGTTATTTCATTTTGCCTACGGTAGCACTAGGGATGGAGAATGGGAGAAAGCACATAGTGTATTGATAAAAATAAAGCGGCTTGTCAAGTGTTTTTTACTACATCCTTGAGCAAAATTGTAACGACAGGGGATACCCCACAGCTTCGAAGGTTCACTGCACCATCGGGGATGACTGTGAATCTGACCCAAAGACTTAGATCGAAGAACCACGCGAGGAACCTATAAGCCATGTGGTAACGAACTGGGCGACACCAAAGAGTACTGTTTACCACCAACATGGCCGGCGACGGTGACGGAGTTTGAAACGTACCTCCGAGGTGATCAAGGCTTATACCAGTTGATTACCAGCTATAAGTTTATTGGTCATATTCGTCCTGCACATATTCTTGACAGTATCTAAGACCCTAATGCACCAGCTTACAAGAAAAAATATTGAGGCGATAAGTATGAACCAGATTTAGACTCTACTAGTTTCAAAAAAGTAAAAACTCAGTAAAGCTCGAGTATTGTAGCTGGAATAAATTGTCATCTGACTGAAGTTCAGTTCAGCTCCTTCAATCATCATACTCGCACTTATGTTCTCAGGCTTTGGTTTCTAACTCAGCACCATCGAGTCGAGAGCAGAATGAAAAAGAGCGCGAATGCAGCTACGGTACTGGTCGCGACATCTAGCCATGTCATTTAATATCTTCAACCATCTGGTAGTAGAGTCTAGTGGACCCCAACAATTAAGTCTGACATGTCGGGCGTGTTCAAATCCATTGGTTGAGGATTTCATACCGTTTTCCCATACCATGGAGTGGTCACCTCGACCTGCCTTCCAACCACTACTTGCCTCGAGAGATAAAGTACACGGAGGAAGTCTATCGGTGTACAATAAACTTTTTAAGTCGTACCAAAATTGTCGAGCCTTGTCCCAGTCGATCCGAACTGCATTCTGCACCGGACTACTTTTATGTTTCTCAGTAGGCAAATTATCGAAAAGTCCACTTGGGCTCCAAGAATGCGGCTTGATTGCCTTGACCGTATATCTTGCATGCTGACATTTGTAACACGTCCTAGCCATAATAACTTGTTTAGGCTCTGTACCTGTTTCAGAGACTGACCTCTTACTCCTAACAAACCTCGGTTAACCTCAGAATCGCTGGTACGACCTTTCCATCATACTCGAACAATACTGCGGAGAATTCGATGCATAAACATCGACAGTCTTCTATCATCCACGGTCACGTTTCTGAGGCGTATATGAGAACCGATATAATCGCCACAGTGTACAGCAAAACTCTGGCGCACAATAAGTAACATCCAACGTGTCGTTATTCATGTATTTTTCACTGCTCCTAAGTATTCTTTTGGAGAATTCCAGTGACGATTGTTAATGGTTAACGTGTTCATTTGTTCTGACATTTGCCCTTTAGACATATCAATCGAAACCAGTGTCAAAGTAGTAATGGCAGTCAGAAATATGAACAACGGAGTCAGATGTGGTGAACCACGTGGTACAGTGTTATTGAACGATCTAGTTGCATGTTTCATATCCCGAAAAGTGATTTAGGTCACCTCAGAGTTATTGATGGTTACGTAACGACTTGTTGCGAAGATCGTACCCGAGACCATTGCACTCGGTCAGATTAACAATACCAGCTCGGATAATCAGGCAGCCGATTACGTGACCTGATTCAGGACAAATAGTGTGAGAGTAAGAAGAAAATGCTCGGAAATAGGGGGGATTATTAGGCCACCAGAGAGAGTTATTATACATAGAAGAACACCCACGCTATTAAGTGTCGTCAACAAGAAATTTGGGGTGAAGCATTATATATATAAATATATATATATATATATAAATATATATATATATATATATAATGGGGTTATGAATCGTAATCCGAAAACAGAAAATAAAATGGTTTTCAAAGAGTTTTCGCCACAGCCAGATAAAGTGCAAGAATGTCCACATTCGGGGCAGTCTGCAGTCGCACTTATCCGGCGAGCCATTGTTAGGCTCAGTACTAAAACTGAAGCTGTATGTTCGCTTGTAAATGTAGTAGAACCCGTTGAACGATCACTATCCATCTTTGTCAAAGTATCTAACTGCGAAATTCATAAGGGCTAATATCATAGCATCATCCATCATCAAATGCCTTAGAAACAACAAACTGCCCTTTCTCATCTTCAATAAAACCCCTCAGCAATAAAGTTCTGTTGAGAATTCCAAACTGGAGTGCTCTCAGTGAACGTTCAAATGTTATCTATCAGTTCCAGTCTGAAAATCTAACAACCTCGCTTTGTATTCGATAGTCATAGTTGCAACTCTTCATCAGAAACCTTACTGAGAAACCAAAAGGTATGAACTATAAATTTGATTGAAAGATAAATGCAAGTAAGAACATCAAAGAACGGTGTGAACACAGAAACCTGACTGATCGCGGTAAACCGTCCATTCTTTCAACAAACGTGACCTTTGCGTAAGCGAATCTAGTGGATTCAATCCATGAAGCTTAGTATGCCGTGCATAGCCAAGTTCAGCAGTCAACGTTCTTAAACCTTTCTTCTTCGTAATCGTTTTCCACCTACTCCCAGACTCTGGGAACAACACACCGAGGAAGTCGATACGGGTGCACGTGCAATTCATCTCATTTATCACAGAGTGGTGAGGTTCCTTGTCTGACATTGTGATTTATCTCCAAAACCCAATATTCTGAGACTAACCTCAGCACTGTTGATACGATGCTTACACTAGATTTGTGAAGTATCCTGAAAATAACGGTTTTCACACAAACTGTATTTTACATAGGTCAAAAAGCAGTCATCTGAACAGTACAGGAGAAGTGAACTGACTGCTTTAGGGATCCCTAATAAAGGAAAATTGGTGCCGTAACGAAGCCATGTATAACTGAAATTGGCATAACTCTATTGAAGTGATGGTTATTAGATTATCACATTTTTAGTCTTCAATTCGAATTCATGCATGTTCCATCGCTTTCTGAACGAAATAAGAAGTTTCCACTGCTAGCGTGAACTAGAAACTTGTCTGTTCATTCAGTTTTGAAGACCGTATGCGTCTGAGCACAGATCATAGCCAGTTCATTCTTAGCCGTGTTTCCAGGGGACAGTTTGGCGATTGGATCGGCTATGCAGTGTTTAGTGCCGGAAGTATACAACATACTTGTCAGAGGTTCTAAAAATATGCACACGGATGGGAAACTGGCGAACACAGATTCATCAGAATTGACACGCATGGCTGCAAAGCGTTTGTCGAAGCCTTGCCTTCTGTTCCAATTACATCTCATTCGACTTTCTTCGCATACGTGGATGTCAGTTCAAACATCAGACTTCCGTTTTGCGACAGTAGGAGCTTCACATGTAGAATAGCTACTACTGAGCTAACACCTTTCTGTGGTCTACGTTCGTAATACACCAGACGTATCAATTTCATTCCAGAGCAAACAAGATATGATAGGTGATGCCGCGTGATATATATATATATATATATATATATATATAGTGCAGAATCGGAAAAATGAACCAGCTCTTAGCTGGTGAGGAGTAGAGAATTAGTAACCCGTCCTACGAAAGGCAACATTAGTTTGTCACTCCTTATTATCGGAAGCGGGACGTAGCAGTTCCACATTAATGAATGGGTGACACGCCCAACAACGTTCACACCACCGTTTTACGGTAGCTGTGGGTGTGAGTGATTAACGGGATATGAGCAAGGCGTTGAAGTATCAGATTAGATGCAAAAATATCAATTTCACTTGATCGACCCGTATCCACCAAGTGAGTTTGTATCACATTTGAGTAACCACCGGATTAAGTCAATATGGCTAAAGCTGATCAAAACCATGGAAACAACAGTGGCTAATGTAGAATCCATGCATGTGAGAGAACAAACACTCATGAAAGCTGTTCGAATGAACGACTTATCATTATTATATACGATTCTGATGAGTGAATTATGGAAAGTGAACATGATTGCGTTTGCTTATCTGCGTGCGCATATGGCCGTCAGCAGAAAGAAACCCAATAAATTGAATATGTCCCGTAATGACTGCTTCTGTTTTGGTAATAGTCTAGTCAGTTTAAGATACCGAAACATGTCCAAATCACCTCTGAAGACTGGGTAAATCAGAATAAAAAAAATCCAGAGAATATCTTTGTTTTAACAGTAAGGTAGGTGTTTGAGGATGAATTAGATGGTACATTATGAAAAAAATTCCCCAAGTTTGTGGTTTATAGGAAAGATTTGATAGAGATCAGACAAGTACGTGACTTGCGTTGGTCATGGAATTTCGACATTAACGGCTCAGATTAGATAACCACCACCGCTGGCCACTTCCCTATTTGACAGCCTTCCACTGGCTGTGGCCTCTTCCAGAAATGCTGCAATTTGCCGCTGAATAATTAAATGAAGTAAATAGGTAGTGGGTTGAATCGCACTCCCAATGGTTGCTATTCTCCCATTGAATTCCTTAATTTGTTTTGCTTCTTCCGTCAGATTCGTGGCGAAAGGAACGACCTTGGGTCTATTCCGTGACAGGGCGAAAAAGCATGTATGACCATGAACTCCTATAAGTCGGCTGACTCAGGCTTACGGCTGTGAATAACGCTAGGGAGAGTGACTTCAACTGTCATCATCGTTGTAACCCACACATGAGAATATAAGTTCCCCAAAGAGAACAAATATTCGGCGACGGCTTTCCACTTTCAATGTTTGGGGAAAGTCGATAGGCTTATCCAGCGCTTCTCATTGGTTAGAAATCTGAGTTGTACCTGTTACCATGGTTTCTGTCATTCATATTCCTTCGTGAAAATGATCTGGACGAAGACGGCACAAATAACAGCACTGTGTCGAGCTCTGTTGGTCATTTGGAATGCATTAATTCCATTTATAGACCTCTGCTGAAAAGTTTCTCATGAAAGTGAATTGCTTTGTGGATAGTTAATTATCATTATTATTATTGTTTCCCAGAGCTAGTAATAAGTGAACGCGCCGTATCACATGATACGGATGCGAAGCAACGTTTAAAGCCAGCCCAGACACTGAACTGCAGACTTATATGATTCAAAATTATGATGTAGCCCGTGTGCAAGTCCCGGTCGGAACCAGGGGTATATGCACGGCTGAGCGCGTCTAACAAGCTTTGTGCATGTACACAGTACCTCAGTCGATTACCAGGGATAATTTGGGCTTCAACAATGCAAGATGGATCATTCAATGGACATTTCGGAGTCACGGCTGGAACCGGAACGGCCGAATAGAGCGATCATCTATCGGGAGGACACACGGGTTTTAGCGAGAGCAATGCAGTCAGACAACAAACTAGTGAAAAGGGATGTTTTATATACTGTTTTCCCTAGTACTGTAAATCAAGTGGTACACCGCTTCGAACTGGCTAGTTTTGTTCATATTATTTATTCTCCTAGCTTTTCCACTTCTTAGTTAGATTTATATTTGAAATGTGCGAATGCGTACGAGTAGTCCGAAGGGCACCAAGAATGAATTAGTCTGACTCATCACCAATGCTTTGAAAAATGAAAATCAGTCAAATCTCTGCATTCAACAATATGATACGTTGCTGTTCTGTGAGTGCATCACTGGTATATGTATTTTTCTGGATAGGTATATGCGTATGCGTACGTATTTTATTATATATATATATATATATATATATATATATATATATATATATATATATATATATATTATATATATATATATATATGATTACCGAATAAATCACAAACAATAAAAGCTTAGCCTGACGAAAATTGAGACCTTCAGTTCTATTCACGTTCTCTTAGACTCCACATCGAGGCGACTAATAAATAGTGTCTATAAGTCCTATGAACAAAAAACAGAAGTCTTAAATTCACAGGGTAATAACGGGTAGCCATATGATCAAGTTTTAGCAAGACAAGTGGGATGTGAGATAAAGTCAACATGAAAGTCGTGACCGTGTGGAGGTATCACGTTGTTCGATCTTTCATTCAAACAAGGCAAACGAATAGATATTCACCGATCGCATTATCAGACCAAACGAATGAGTTATGGAAACACAAAAACACACCGGCAATGGGAGATAATCGGGAATGTAGATGGGAAATAGATGCAACAAGGGTGTTTGTTCTGAAGTGGCGTCTAAATCATATCACTTGGTTGAAAATACAACTTGCTTGCTGTATTATAATCGTTATAGATAACAAGACATTGAGATTCGCAGATTAATTTTACTAAGCATATAAATGACGATTCATTATCAATTCGTCTCATTTGTTCAAAAATGCGAGCGCATTTGAAACTATCTGTAGCACGAAGAGAAAACCATTACTTTCTCGCCATGTTTTCTGTTTTCACTCCATTCCGGTCACGTAAACAAACTGGATGTGTTGCATCTCGTTATTAGAGGAATCTTTTTCAGTCATTCTTTCACAAATGAAAGCCATCAGAAAAAAAAACGATTGTGGTGGTCTTTACTCTCCACTTCTACCGTCATGCCAATTTAAGATTTTTCTCCAATAGACACCGGGCTTGCACACAAAACTCCTCTCAATAACCGGAAACGGGGATAACATGAAGAGCATAGTCAATTACTTAAAAAGAGGCAAGACAATCACCGTTATCCCAAAACGGTTACCTAATATAACAGTAACCTAGCCACAAGGCTAATGAGCTTCTCCAGGAGTTAACTTTGGCCAGTTCGATGGAGCCTGGAGTATACAGCACCGCCAGGCAAGCGCCGTTTTCAGATCACTGATCGTGGATTGTTGTCAAAAATCAGAGACCATTAGGGAAGATCAGATCAGCAACAATAAAGCAACACGCAACGAGTGTTTCATGGTACACCAGTGAAGTTTGTTTTGTCAAATGAGCAAAACTTAAGTAGAGCCAGACTGGCGTTGTGTACGATAATTGACCATCTACTGCACCTTGTGGAATACGCATTCATTGCCTCATTTGAAAGACACAAGAAATTTGATGATTCATTGTCTAAATCACCATCTAATGGACCAACAATGACTACTTCTTTCCGTTTGTCATACTTCTATATGTCAAATAATAGAATTTCTGCATTCTAAATCTGATCCCTGATATTTTCATTAGTGTAAACACCTTCATGCTGGCCAATGAGCAAACCTGCTGTCAGACCGCGAACGTTCGCCTCTGATGATGTGTTTCAGACAATAATGAGCTAGACTGACTCAGTGGCTGATATTTTGATGCTGGGTTATCCATTCCATATAGACAGGTAAACACAGCTCCCATATTCACACGAAAGGCACGATTTAAGATCCCAAATCCACTGGTGTGTGGTTTGCTTTTTTATCAACCGGTTCTGGATAGTTCGGTCAAACTTTTGCATCTAACAAACTGAACTTTGTGCGGTCGAACAAACAGGATGAACAGATGTTCCCGGGGAACTTACCGTGTTGTATATGTTGGTTGATGTCTTTGTTTTTGGACTACTAGTGCTTGATGAGAACAGCGAATCTGTATTGTGGCCGGCATCAAACGACAAGGTTCGCCGTCCATTTGCATGGGGATGACTTTGTCTGTGGTCAAAGTCACTGTACAACACTGACAAATGCGATCCCCATGACCACCGACCTGAATCATGGCCTGTGCATAAAAGCCGGTACATGTTGTCGTTGTTGTTTGGGCAGTGGATGCAGTTTTAGGAAAGATGGTTCAACGAGATTTACAGATATTGGGATACAAATGATAATATAGTTTATTTTGTAAGCAAATTTTTAGTGTCGCTGTAAATGAAAGGTTAACGTAGCCTTGAAAAACACTGATATAACTTCTGGCCTATATTATACTCATGATTTAGGCGAGATATTTCTAGCATATTTGGCCACAGAAAAATTGTGTTCAGGATCATCATCACGAAGTTTGATAAGTTCAGTAGATTTATTGAACCAACTGTCCACGAAGATGGAAATTTTACAATCCTAGTAACTGCAATGGATAGAGGTTGTGGCTTGAGATAAAAAAAGTTCCGAAATTTAGCGTCGGAACCTTTCTTCAGGTGAGCCAAAACTAATAGTCGTCGGACGCAGGTCAGAAGAGAAACAAGGTGTCTGAAGGTCATAAAGTAAATATACGCTACAAACTTTGGTAACCTATAAATCGTAGACACTGACAGGACCATCGAGTGTAACAATGCGATGTGTGTGACACACAGACGTAGAATAACAGCCGGTGGTATTAAAATCATCGGATGATATCGGTCGGGAGACTGAATTCAAAGAATGCAGAGCCTGGGATAAAAGAGCGTATTTGGTTGTGCACAACTTCATTATCTCTGCTAGCTACCAAAGCTGAACCACTGGGGGCTCTTCTATGGCTTTCTTTTTCATTTTTCTAAATCCTAGGTGCCAGTTTTATCTGATAATACAATCAATCATTGTCACTCTTATTTAATTAAACAATAGAAAAGAGAAAATGTTCTTCCAGATAAGAGGCAAAAAACGCAGCACCAGGATCATTCCAGGATCCTTTTGTTCCGTACCGAATACGAAACGGTCCCACCATCCCGGTTATTAATTTCATTCGTCGATAGGCAGGAACCATATAACCTGTATAAAAATTGATGTGAAAACCAACCGATAACAGAGTTATTTATCCATAGATTTTTTGCCGGACTGACGACAATGGTTACCAAAATGAGACTAACCAGAGTAGTCGACGAGAGGCCAATCACTTCGACCAAACCGTCATCAATTTGTGGTTGTTCGAATCCGGCTGCAGGTGGTGCCTGCCCCCATGGTAATGTGCCGGATCCGTACCTGGAGGTGTGGAAGATGAATATGGTCGAGCTCAACACGTGCCATTGAGAAATGTTTTGATTATTTGGACTGTCATGTAACTCAACGTTTCTATATGGACTGATATGATAGACCGCGAAAATATAAATGCACTATAACGTGGCCGACACAGCGAAATATCGATTCTGTATCAGCACGTCGGGCATTCGTCTGGCGGATGCAGAAGAAAAGCCACATCGAATTCCGTGACGTGAAAAACAATTGCGAATTTGAGATCCCGATGATTTTTTGAATGATAATGAATAAAAATGATGTGGACGTACTATAAGACAAGAATGAAGATGAAATTAAAAATAATGGTTTAATTTTTGGTTGTCCAGTAAAAGATGTAGTTCAAAAAAAGAACGTTTTCAGGCAGATCTTTAGAAAAGCTTTGAAAATACTAACTTTCAAAACATTTTTGTAGAGGGGTTTCCTTGCTTGGAAACGAGGACGGGGAGGGGGGGATTGGATTTTAACGGAAGAATCACAAAAGCAATCTTCAAAAAATGCAATCTCTAGTGGTAATATTAGAATAAGACAGGCAAATGGCTAAACGAATCAGATCACCGGTTTGATGTTCTCGATGAATCGGTAATCACCAAATGGTCCTGGGGCAAGAACGAAACGGAATAGGAGCAGTGAAAGAACGGGCTCCAACTGTTACGAGTTATGGTAGGCAGACGACCAAAGACGTGCTTTATCATCGGTACCAGCGGTACAATAAAAATAATGAAAAAATTAATGCAACTGCTTTGTTGAACGTTACTCTACGTCTTGAACTCGAAAAGTAACTTCCTCAGCTGCGCAGTCGCGAAATAAATTTTACACTCGAACACTGCAATTGGTTTGGAGATGGCTGCACGAATTCCGCCCGCTCTGGTTTACTTTTAGAACAAAATGCGTACAGTTTAGTTGCACTCTTTTAGACACAAGTTTTAGAAAACAACGATCACACAAATTTTAGACAGCCTTCTAAGTTCCTGTCAAGTCATTTGACGTGACAGATTCGCTGCTTCTCCACCTCAGATAAACCATGGCCAGACACATTTGTTTTTCGGTGTCCCAGTGCCCAACTAGGTCGGCTAATGTTCCCTGATTCACTGAGAAAAGCACCTCGTCTTTCGGCCTGTATAGCTTGTCGGGCATTAGCAAATGGAGGAGTGCGTATTCAAAGTAATACCGGTGCTTATAGAATATGGTTATTCAGGACGGTTTGTTTAGAACATGCCAGAGAATTCCTAAAGACCTCAAGTATTCACCGTGAAACTAAAAGGACGATAAACACCGTCGCCTCTCACGGGGAACTCAGCTTGCGATCTTCTGACGAGGCGTCTGGAAGAGGTCATCGCTTGCGCGTCTCACGCGGCCTGTTTGCGCACTCACTTTATTAGCCAACCAATGCTTTTGATAAATCTCAAAGATAGAGTACCTGTCCTAACCTCATCAGTGGAACATACTCCTTTGTTTATTCATGTTTGGCAAGATACATAAGTTGGAAGAAAAGGCGGTTTCTCATACGATCGAGGAACACAAGCAGGCCCGGTTGGGCATTGGGGCTACGGAAACCATCACAGTTGCGACCATCGCGCATCTGATATAATCGACCACCTTGTGTAGAGAAAGAAAATTCGTTTGTCATTTCACGGTTACGTAATTAAAGCACCACGTTCATTTGTACGAACAAAAGCTCAAAACCCGGTCATGGCCGGGTAACAAGTAGCAAGCAAGCCAAGAAGTGCCCAAGGGTTGTCACTGAAGTAAGTTGCAAGCATGCGCTGGCGTACATTCTCCTCGGGTCAACAGAGGTCAATTGATATACAACGAGATCGATCAGTTAACAAACAGTACAAGGATTGAAGCATGATCAAACATCAACTAGGATACTAATGAATTATCCTCGGAGTGAGCGTGATTGTTCAGACAGGATCCAACACAAAACAAGTACTAACGTGAACATATGCCTCGAAAAATTTGATTCCAGTAGTCTCTTTTATTGTTTTTTTCACTTTGACGGAGAGTGAAAACACAGTTCATTTTTTATGCACGAAATTTACGGGGTCGAATAGCGCTCATTTTAGGGAACGGAAAGGCTCAATGAACTCATCATTATTTACAATTCACAAGATTTTCTCTCTCATAACATAAAAGCAAGAACTAATGCTGCTCCATTGTTCGTGGTTTACCAAGGAATCTTTTTTCCTGATCTCGGAGTTGAACTAATTTTTCAGGGTCAGATGCGATCTTACAGCGGCCTTTTTGAAGTCTCTACCGGTCCTCGCGCTTGGCAACGAGTTTCAAGCATTTTTGCTTGATGTCAGAAATCGGGTAAAACGTTTCTTTCGGAAGGTAGGTGGACATACGATAAAACATTTCAGTCGTTGTTGAGCCGCTCTAAGACATCAAGCTGTTTCCAAAATATCGATACCGTCAATATTATCTTCCAAAATCCAATGTTTTTTGAGGGAATTTGGTAAAGTATTCAACGTCACTTTGCTAAACGAATCAAAAAATGTCGGTGAAGTACTTCTCTAGGAAAGTTGGTTATTCAAAGAAATTGATGCTGTTGTCATCCCTGTTGATGGGGCGATCCGCCTGAGGATCCAAGAAACCGAGGAGGGGGGGGGGCAATCACATTTATCCGTCACAGGTGGTGCAAATCTCCTCGCCTCTCACTTCAGTTTGATACGATGAAAGTCGAGTACAATGCAGTACGTTGTAAGCCGCCTTGTCTAGATTTCTTTCGCCCTATTATCCTCGCTAATTCTTGTGTTTCACGAGATACTTCCGCTGGTGATATCAGTCAGTTAATTGACAGCCTTTCCAGCCATCTCACTACGAGTCTTGATCAGTACTCGTGCATGATAGCGGGTAAATTCAACAGACTTGACTTATCCTTTCTAACCGCTTTGGGTTTTTTGAATCTTGTGGATTTCCCAAAGCGCTTTGATGCCCTTTTTGATTCAGTATCATTTAACTATACAAGTATTATCACAGTATGTAAACGTGCCCCCAATTAGCACTTTTGATCATTGTACTTCACTTCTTCACCCTAGACTTTATTGCGGAAACAAATCTTTGATCAACTCCCTGGACTCATACACACTGTCTGAAAAACAGCTCGCACCTCCGAGAATCTCGATAAGCTGAGGGCATTTGTTGGCCCCACTGATTTTTCCGCTAACCAACAATTCGGTTTTCCTCATAATAACATAAAATTCAAACCTAAATAGTGTGACAAATCAAGTGTTCCATTGTCATGAAAGTCAATACAATAATTTCTATTATTCAAACGAGTTTCGTTTCTCTTGTTATCAGAGAACAGTTACGAAATAATCTAGGGTCATGTATCAACAGTAGCTTCACACTTATCAAATTTTCACTAGAGACATTTGACATTTTTTTGGCAATACCAACGATTCTGTGTTCCATTTTAGTTTGGGTCTACACCACCAAGGGCACCTACAACTCTACTTTGCCGGCCTGACCAAAATAACAGACACAAGCCATCACGATCCATGAATTAACCTAACTGGAATCTGAATGGTTCTGCTAAAATGAAACGGTGTACGCGTGAAGAAGGAAATAAATCCTTGTGCATAGCAAGGTCGGTGAAATATTTCATCATTTTCAGGAGGCTCAGTAGTGCATGCGTGCATTAACTCTGTAGGTTTGCATAAGATGTTCATCGGTTAGCCTGCAGGATTACAAGTCTCTCAGTTTTTGGGCTGAATAAAAATATAATAAAAAATAATAATAAAATTATTTGTGGTTATTGGCCGGGCAATCAACACATACAGTGTCAAA